TTCCTTATATTGTGTTACATTCTCAAGTACATTCTCAAAAAAGTATTAGATAGCTGTTATTTTCACAGCAGATAAAATCCTATCAATGACTATTCCAAAGTCCCGGATTTTTCGACCGTTCTTTGAATATTTATCATTTCTTCTGGCACGTACAAATCTCGCCTGCTGAATTTTTATAATTCAAGTGATTTAGTCAATTAACGCCCAATAAGGGACTGTGATCACATGGAAGAGGAAAGCATTTTCGACAACAGGGATGTGTGCCAAGTGCAGGGAGGCGACATGAAAGGTCCCTTCCCTTCTTTGTTCCATTCGGGAACACACGTTAAAAGGTAAGGCCCCCGTCATTCCTTGCTCGCACAAGACTTTCGAAGACTTCTGAGGGTTGCTCGTCTGGTAAGGGGGCAACCGAATGACGGATAGAACAATTATAATTACAAATTATATCAACTTGTGAGAGAATTCATCATTCGGAGTTTTATGGAGAAAACACAGCAATAAAGTGCCACCCAGAGGCTATACAGGGTTTTCAGTTTGAAATGATTTCTAGACGTATTCGGAAATCTAAAATGAGATTGATCTAAAAATATATATCCAAGGTTTATCGATTGAGTTTTTTCAATGCAAGTTCATGTGAGTTTGTTTCTATACCGGATGTTCAACTCGTGACACTGTCTTGGAAATATGTATATTAAAAATAAACCTGTATACGAATTTTCAGTTCAGTGTCATCTTCAGAACTACAAATACTTCTGATGTGCGGTTTAGACAAAACAGCATGTATATCCCCCAATTTGATGGTGTATCCTTTCATGAAAATTCGTATACTAATTGCTCTCACACAATGAGATATTAATGATGAATCAGAAGAAGGGACCTTCCACGTCGCCTTCTGCACTTGACTCACCTTGAAGGTTCCAAGACTTTTGGAATCTCCACTTCCTTTCTATTCCAAACACATCCTTAGTTTCAAAAATTATTTCCTCTTCCATGTGCTCTACACCCGCTTATTGGGCGGTAATGGATTGAAGTACTTTAATCAAGAAAATGAAGCAGAAGAGATTTTCACGTGCTATGAGGAATAATAAAAATGCAAAAAAAGGCTGGAAATTTCAGGAGATTGAAATAATTTATAGAATCTTATTCACAGAAACAATGACAACTACCTGATAGTTCTTAATTGGTTCTTACAGAAGAAGAATCATTACAAAAACCAAAGAACATTTTTCAAACTATAGAGAATGATAACGGCTGAAAAATCATATAATAATAATAATATAATAAATATAAGAAAGGTACAATATTCGATTCCATCTGTCAAACAATCAACGACACGAAAAATCATTCATACGTGACTGTGGCACGTGTTTTCAAGCAGTACAGCTCCAACGGAACCGGGTGATAGCTCACAAAACCGAATAGAAACTACGAATCCAGCTGCAGTAACTACTTCCTTCACTATTTGGAAAATTCACCGGTGGTTTTTCTCACACAGAAACCGATGATCTTTCAAATAACCTTCAAATTTTTGAGAAGGTCGATCATCCTAGATACCTAGTACGAGGCATCGCTTATCACGCTGCTGCCACTGATGAGACCAATAAGAAGAACTTGCAGCACTGCATTATCGTACAGTCCTACCACTCCCCTGTTTCGAGAAATGAGAGGAATTTGAGAGGCTTATCATATTTAGAACCGGATTTTCTCAATTATAATTATTATTTTTTCAAAATAGCCTCTCCCGGTTCTTTCCATCGCAGCATATAGCCTTTTCGTGATAAAGTTACTAATACTTTATATACAGGGTATCCCAAAATTAGCCTGCCAAACTTCACCAGCGGCTTTCACCACCAAAAATAGAAAAATAAACTTTCAATGAACATGAGTCGAGAAATGTCCCCAAAGGGAGCTACGGCCCCCTGAAAGGGGACTCCTGGAGATGATGTTTCTTGAGTATTTCCGAAACCCCATGTGATAAAAAGATGCATTTTTTTTATCGCTTGGAGCGCACGAAAGGGAATCCCTATAATGTTCAAAGAACATCGTGCGTTCCTAGGGAGGATAGGGATAGGAGGTAGGTATTGCAATTTTTTTTGAACTACTGGAGATTATATGTTGTTGGGAATACTTCCTCAGGCAATGAATTCCAGAGCCTAGCCGTTCTATGGATGAAGGAGTTTTGATAAAGTGCTGTTCGACATCTTTCGAGGTTGACAACGAAAGGATGTGCTGACTGGGCTTGTCTAGTTCGTCTGACTGGTATTGCCAGTGAAGGGATGATGGCAGAGATTATTATCGATAAAAAAGTGAAAGGTCGCCGACATGATACAGGAACTAAACTTTCTATGCCCAATGCAGTGAGAGTGGAATCATTTCGAAATTTTAATCATGAGTTTTTTTTTTTTTTTTTTTTTTTTTTTATCGCTTGGAGCGCACGAGAGGGAATCCCTATAATGTTCAAAGAACATCGTGCGTTCCTAGGAAGGATAGGGACAGGAGGTAGGTATTGGAATTTTTTTTGAACTTCTGGAGATTATATGTTGTTGGGAATACTTCCACAGGCAATGAATTCCAGAGCCTAGCTGTTCTATGGATGAAGGAGTCTTGATAAAGTGCTGTTCGACATCTTTCGAGGTTGACAACGAAAGGATGTGCTGACTGGGCTTGTCTAGTTCGTCTGATTGGTATTGCTAGTGAAGGGATGATAGCAGAGATTTCCGAAGAACATTTCCCGTGGAAGTATCGATAGAAAAGTGAAAGGTCGCCGACCTTTCTACGGTGTTCTAAAGATGTCAAAGAGTCAGTGAGTGTGGCGTCACCCACCAGGCGAATGGCTCTTCTCTGGATGGAATCTAGGAGCATCAGCGTATGTTTTGGTGCTGAACCCCATATGTGGGAACAGTATTCTAGAACAGGTCGTATCTGCGCTTTGTAGATCATGAGAAGCTGTTGAGGTGTAAAGTAGCTTTTCGCACGGAACAAGAATCCGAGTTTTTGGGAAGCAGCTTTTGCGATGGATCTGACATGATTATCCCATGAAAGAGTGTTGCTGATGGAAATACCGAGCATAGATATGGTGGGCTTGGTGGGGATGGTGGAGCCAGACATTACAATATCGGGCATACTGAGTTCCGCCTTTCTAGAGAAAATGCAGGCTTGAGTTTTGGTGGCGTTGAATTCAACTAGGTTGTTCGTTCCCCAGGCTGTGATTTCAGCAAGATCTTCATTGACAGCATTGACCTGCCTGCGCCGTGAGTTCTTAGTTTCCTGGGAGTGTATGATACAGGCTGAGACTGCATTAAATATTGCTCAAAATTATTTGTTAATGCGTATTTTTCGACAATTTAATCTCGGATCATGAAATTCCACATCTTTTTACAAAAAAAAGGTACTTCTGTTCCGTGATCGGATGTATTGTTTTCGAGTAGAAGCAATTTGAAAATATTGTTACATCTCAGATATTATGCATACCATTGCAATGAGGCGTAGTGGAAATGGAAAAAAATGCACAAAAAATTAATTAGTTTTCTCATTTTTTTTCTTGCGCTTTCACGAGATTGCTTGGTAAAAAAAAGTACTTGATTTTTAAATAGCCACTATGTTTCAAAAATTGGCAACGTTATGCATAAGATGTCAGTGCATCAATATTTTCAAATCGATTTCACACGAGAATGATACATCTGATCGATGCGGAACAGAAGCGATTTGTTTTGGAAAATGTTGTGGATTTTCATAATCACAGATTTGATTGTCAAAATTTATGCACACGAAGAAGTTTGAGCAATATTTAATGTAGTTCCTCCTGAATGAAACTTTGAAATGCTTTTATATTCACCGCATTCGTCAAAGAAAGTTAATTTCTTGTGCCAAATTGCATCATTTTATCACGTGGCGTTCCGGAAATATTCAGGAAATATCATCTTCAGGAGCCCCCTTTCATGAGGGCGTAGCTCCCTTAGGAGACATTTCTCGACTCATGTCCATTGGAACTTTTCTTCCTATTTTTGGGCGAAGAAGCCGCTGGTAGAGTCTGGCAGGCTAATTTCGGAAAACCCTGTATATCATCTGAGAGGCTCATCAAACTAGGATCGTGTCGTGGACTCTTGGACTAATTTGACAACACACTATGACAAGGGGCTCACAAATATGATAACTCTGCTATAATGTACAAAACGCCGTGAACTTCATTTTCTGGTCTGTACTATAAAAAAATATCGATTTATTCGAGCTTTCAGCACTACTTCTGATTTTGATTCACAAATTCCAATCAATATATTATTCAACATGCAATATCAAACTTAGAAACCGAAATTTCGAATTCTGATATGAATCATTTCATTTTGACTTAAGTATGTTCAAATAACTAGCTGTTTCGGGGCCATGATTACTTTTGGCAACTTTTCCACTAACGTTTTCAGGCATAACCCTAAATGCGCACGTATTCATTGAAAAAACGTTGAGAATTAGTTGTGTACCCAACCGTTGAAAATCCATAGAAATGTTGCGGAAAATAACGTTCCTTTCAATTCACAAATTATTTAAAGTTGAACAACAAGTGATAACGTTGGAAATAGGTTACCCAAAACGTACGTTGTTATTACCATTATAACCATTCAACGTTGAATTAACGTTGATTCATCGTACATGTACCCATTGGGAATGACCACCGCATATTGGCCACCAAACTGGTTTGTCGTTTTGACCGAACATTCGGCGACTTGTCCATTCGGTGACTCGTCCATTCGACGAAGTGTCATGGACCCACAAATTGCGGAAGTTATATAATTAGGCTAGACGCCTCAAATTAGGCTGGGATTCAGCTCCTTCACTAACAAATTGTGTGAAAGTTTCAATTTTGTATGCATTATACTATAAAACTCATCGAGCGACTTTCATCCTCCAAGTCGAACGCCCCTATAATAAATTCACATAATATCACCCTGCTGGACTCATCATCAAATTAGTTCATGGAAATGAAAGGTACTCTCATTATATTCTAGTCATGCCACTGAAGTTGAAGATCTACTTCGAGGATTGCTTGAAGAAATGCTGTCACATGTATCTTCTGAAGAAACATTCCATGTAGAAAAAATGGTGGAAAAAATATTGAGTAGCATATTGAGATGCGCAAGCGTACAGGCAATCATCAATGAAATAATAGAAAATATTCCATTTGAACCCAGTCCAGAACAGCAGAGTAATATCGACTCAACTGCAGAAAAGATATATCAAATACAAGAACCAGAGGTGAGATATAATATTTCAGAAACATTTTTTAATATATTTTCCCAGAAAGAAGTTGGTAGGTATTCAGCATACATACTTTCGATTGAACTCAATAGGAAGATACGCTGTGCATTACTGCAATGAAATATTCTCCTCTCATTTTATCGCATGGAAGCAGCGCACGGAAGAACTTGGATAATAACCGTGAAAACGAATCATACATGCCAAACACTATTGTCAGCATTGTTTATTCTTTGTCAATCAAATTTATGTCGACAAAATGAGCTGAAAAAAAAAATTCCGAAATTCTCGAAAATATCCTAGAGCAAGTGGTGGCGAACTCATTACTGGTAAAATCCAGGTCTAGTCTCTTTTATGTAATATTTCATTATTATATTCTCATTTCCAAATATCGTTCATTGCTTGTCCAGAAGAGATTTTTTCGTGCCTGCATGACATGAATTTGTCACAAGCGCACGGCAAAAAATCTCTATTTCCAGGCTCGTAATGAGATATACTATTTCCGAAAAACAAAAATTGAGTTAAGGTCCTCAATTGAAGTGTCTGGGTTCCTCCTATAGTGTTATTTTATCAAAGTTCTCTGATTTGATGAAGAAGAATCATCAATTTTGTGCTTTTTGAAAACATCTGTGCATCTTTTGTGAACAGCGTAATATATTTCGTTTGAAGGAAGAAACTTCCTAAAAAGTGAAAATTGGAGGCGCGTCAGTTCATGTTCTCCAACATTTCAATATCCATTGATAGCGTCCTCACAGGAGAATGAGGAAACTATGTTTGGGAATAACGGATACGGGCTTATTTTATTTTCATGAGATCTAACGAGCGTGATCAAGAAGTAGGATACATTGATGTATACACCTAAAATTGTTCAAGAAGCTCATGTCATCAGTGCCGTATTCATATTTTTCATGAATACAGGGTGTTATTTAGGTACGTGGCCAAACTTGAAGGGGTGATTCTTTGGGTGATTCTAAGACGAAAAGTTTATATAAACATAGGTCCGGTAATGCTTCGTTTTCAAGATACAGGGTGTCAAAATTTTTAAAATAAATCATTTTTTTCTTTAATATCTTAATAACCCTTCAACCGATTTTATTGAAAGGCAGTGTTATTCAAGGTCGTAAAGGGCTAATTCAACCCTAACTATATCAAAAATATTAGTAAGACCCCAGTTTTTGATGGTTTGGTAGTTGAAATGTTTTATTGTGTTGTCACAGGGATGTGCAATGAAGTGATTTTTATGTTTTCTATCAAAAACAAAGCAAGATACGAAAAAAATTCTATTTATGAAAAAGTTGTAATTTTAGTTGCTCAATGTGAAACAAATACAAAAATTGCAAAAAAATCAGTGGCGCACATTTTTTCTATCAAAAATATTGGTTACAGTACCTTCCGGGGCGCCACTGGACATGATGATTTTGATATAGTTAGGGTTAAATTAGCCCTTTACGACCTTGAATAAGACTGCCAGATTTCAATGAAATCAGTTGAAGGGTTATCAAGATATTTACGAAAAAAATGATTTATTTTAAAAATTTTGACACCCTGTATCTTGAAAACGAAGCATTACCAGACCTATGTTTATATGAACTTTTCATCTTAGAATCACTCAAAGAATCACCCCTTCAAGTTTGGCCACGTACTTAAATAACACCCTGTATATGCCACTTCATCCGCGCCGCCCCTTCATCTATCCTGGAAGTTGCAAAGTATAACCTACTTATATAGGCCATTATTAGGTACCATATAAGGACTTGATCTGACTCAGACCAGATCAGATCAGACTCAAAGCAGCAGACCAAGTAATCGAGCAAGAAGAAACAAATATCTAGCTAGAAAGCTATCATTGTCCAAGTTTGTGTGAACGTTGCATATATAGATTCGTTCGGTGAGAACTTAGGAAGATCTGATGCTGATGTAGGTTCAGGTTTTTTCACCGCCTTATGAGAGAGAATGTTACTGTGATAGTGTACAGGGTAAGGGAAACTCGATGCCTCAGCTCTATCATGATAGAAGGAGAGATGATAGGGAAAATCTGAAAAAAGCTTCCCAAATTTCATGGCTACGGCTAGATCATAAGTGGCCTGTACGTATTTTTCTTGGCACTCCTCGGCAACTTTTTGTGCCAGCTCCAACGTTTCGAGAACAACGCTGCATCTGTGGAGGATGCATTCAGAGGAGAAAAATACGAAATCTTCTGCCGCTTGCGGGTGTGTGAAATCATTTCTAAATCGAAACTCCTACCTGCATCCAGAGGGTATATATATTCTTCAGATCTGCGTTATTATTTGTCGTATCATCTCGTAGATTGAAGTCAAGAGGTATGAAGGTCCTATGAATCCTGGTGGGCTTTTCAATTCACGACAAGAGTGAGCACTCCAGAGCTTGGAAAGTGCTCCATCGTGTCTTTGAGTCTTTCTCTTGAGGTTCGTCGCTTTGCGACGCGTGACTTGCTGACACTACATTACAAGGAACTCTAGTGTTCATAGCATCTGGGTTCGGAAGCATATTATTTATGTACTGTCATGAATCGTATCTTCCGTAAGGATTCATCGAATTCACCATACGCTTATCCGGTGTTTTAATTCTAGATTTATTGTATGTCATTAAAACAAACTGTATTTGACTGGACACAGGTGTAGCTAATCCCTGTTCAATGAACCAGTTATGTTGTATAGAAGCAACAATGACCCTAAGAATTTCGAGTATTCACAATAGTTTTAGTTCTTGTAAGGCTCCCTATTTCCATCCCAAAAGTGAATGTCCGGAGGTTCTCACTCTGCCGTTGCTTTCAGTATGAATGTCATCTTGAGCAAGGGATTCAAGTTTTCTTTCAAAATCTTTCGACTCCCTTCGTCTTCCAGTTATCCTCACTCTTCAAATATATGTGGAAGTTTGGAAGATTTTCAGGGAATTCACAATCCCCCTATTATAGCGGTTGCCGATAAGAGATCTGAAGAGATTCTTTACATCAATAATATCTCGTCTTATCACGAAGGTCGCTCTTTCAATAACATTCTGGCGGATAAAATCATCAGAATTGGAATTCTCGTACTTGACTCATTTGAGCTGAAGAAGGAGTTTTTTGAACCGTTTGATTAATCTGACACGGTTATTGAACTCAACGTCTTTCAGTATTTTGTTTTTCAATTTTTTCAGCATTCCAAATATCTTGACGTGATTTATCCAATTCGTCATGGAGGCACGACTGCAGTAACACATCTTTGGGAAATGAGAAGAAAATACTATTCACCCGAACCTTCCTTTTTTTGGGAATTTGGAAATTCTGTTTTGTGATTCCTTGCACATATGGAATGATAAACTAGAATCGCATTCTGTGTTTCAGTATTTCAGAAAGTTTGTCAAGTACTTCGAAATTTTCTTGCATGATAGCGTATTCCCTGATTTTATAAAATCGGGGATAATCTTTGGTTCGAGAAATAATGATAGAATTTTCTATTTGTACCTTTTTCATTCCACTGGATGAACAAAGCAATTATAACTTATTATTTATCTAGCGTTGGATATATCGAAGGTATTTGACCGTGTTTGGCACCAAGGACTCCTCCACAAACTACCATCATATGGCTTACCACCTCAGGTATGCCATCTTCTATCGAGTTTTTTTTCAGGCAGGTCGCTTCATATGATGGTGAACGGAGTAATGTCTGATACCATTGCCACCAATTTCGGCGTTACTTAGGATCAGTTGGGAGCTAGCCGACCACGATAACTTAGGAACAGCACGTGACGTAACGCATATGCAAAGTCAATGCTTACGCGACCACGTGCTGTCCCAAAGTTATCGTGGTCGAACTCTACTACCTGCCCTATCTACAGCTCTGCAGACGATAGAACACTTCATACTGCGTTCTCCTCTAGGATTATTTTTCCGAAAACCAAGAAAGAGTGACAAAGGCAGGTCAACGCTGCCAATAACGATTTTTCTGAGATTACTGGCTGGGAAACCAACAACCTAGTTGAATTCAACGCCACCAAAACTCAAACCTGTATTGTGTCTAGTAAGGCGGAACTCAGTATGCCTGATACAACAATGTCTGACACCATGAATCTCACAAATACCATTATATCCATGCTCGCCATTTCCATCAGCAATCTTTTTTTATGTGAGAATCATGTCCGATCCATCGCAGAAGCTGTTTCGCAAAAACTCATATTTTTATTTCGTACGAAAATCTATCTTCTCATGATCTGCAGAGCACAGATATGGCCAGTTTCAGGATGCTGTTCTCACACATGGGGTTCAGTACCCAAACATACGCTGATGCTCTCAGATTCCATCCAGAGAAAATCCATTTGTCTGGTGGGTGAGCAACACTTACTTATACTTCGAACTCATAAAAACACCAGAGATAAGTCGGCAACCTTTCACTTTTTTACGGATACTTCCACGAAAAATGTTCCTCATAAATCTCAGACGAACTCGACAGGCCCAGTCAGCTCTTTCTCCCGTTGTCAACCTCAAAGTATGCCAAACAACACCAGAACTCGTTTGCCTTCAGAACGGTAAAAGTTCCGAATTATGTGCCGATAGAAGTATTTTCAAGAATTTCCAAAATCTAACCTTCAAAAGTTCGAACGAATTCCAACACGTACGATGGAGGGTGAGCAACACTCACTCATACTTTGAACTCATCAAAACACCAGAGATAAGTCGGCAACCTTTCACTTTTCTACGGATACTTCCACGAAAAATGTTCCTCAGAAATCTCAGACGAACTCGACAGGCCCAGTCAGCACTTCCTCCCGTTGTCAACCTTGAAGTATGCCGAACAACACCAGAACTTGTTCGCCTTTAGAACGGTAAAAGTTCCGAATTATGTGCCGATGGAAGTATTTTCAAGAATTTACAAGATCTAACCTTCAAAAGTTCGAACGAATTCCAACACGTACGATGGAGGGTGAGCAACACTCACTTATACTTCGAACTCATCAAAACACCTGAGATAAGTCGGCAACCTTTCACTTTTCTACAGATACTTCCACGAAAAATGTTCCTCAGAAATCTCAGACGAACTCGACAGGCCCAGTCAGCACTTCCTCCCGTTGTCAACCCTGAAGTATGCCAAACAAAACCAGAACTCGTTCGCCTGTAGAACTATATGTGCCGATAGAAGTATTCTCAAGAATTTCCAAAATCTAACCTTCAAAAGTTCGAACGAATTCCAACACGTACCTCTTCTCTTTATGCTCCCTAGTTACGCAGGATGTTCTTCGAGCAGTATCGTGATTGCCTTTCGTGCGCTGCGAGAGATGGAGAAAAATCAATGACATTTGAATTAACCGCCAAAAATGAAATATCGCTCACGCATACGCAACATCGACTTGACAAGAAATTCTGAACAGTTCGAAGCAAGCAATTGGTCTTGTGCTGTATCTTTCTCGATATCTTGGGGTGCAAAAAAAGATAACCCTATAAGGTTCGGAGAATATTGTGCGTACCTAGGGGGAGTACAGAGAGAAAAAAGGTATTGGAATTTTCTTATAACTTCCACAATGAGTTCATGGGAATAATTCATTTGGCAAAGGATTATAAAGCTTTGCCGTCCTATGGACGATCGAGTTTTGATGGAGAGCTGTTCGAGATATTCCAAGCATGACGACGAAAAAATTTGCTGACTGGGCTTGTCGAAATCGTCTGACAAGTATTGCAAGTGATGGAATGATCGCAGAGTTTTCTGAAGAATATTTCCCGTGGAAGTATCTACAGAGGAGTAGAAGGTCACCGACTTTTCTACAGTGTTCGCATGATGAAAAGAATGAGTGAGTGTTGCATCACCCACCAGGCGAATGGCTCTTCTCTGAATGGAATCTATGAGCTTCAGCTTATGATTGGGTACTGAACCCCATATCTGAGAAAGTATTTTGAAACTGGCTAAATCTGTTTTTCATAGATCATTTTTTTTATCACTTGGAATGATTATCCGAGTATGTGTCAAGCAGCTTCCGCGATGGATCTGATTTGATTTCTCCATGAAAGAGTATTTCTGATAAAAATACCGAGTATGGACGAAGTGAAATTTGTGGAATTAGGGGTACCAGACATCGATATATCGAGCACACTGAGTTCCGCCTCTCTTAAGAGAAAATACAGGCTTGAGTTTTGGTGACGTTGAATTCTTCTAGGTTTTTGTATCGCCACGCTGTAATTTTAGCAAGATTTTCATCGACACTGGTTTTAAGTTTTCTCGAAACAAATTAAAATTGTGGTTGACAACGCAGTATGAACGGTACTATCCTCTGCAAAGCTGTGGGTAGGGCGAGTGCTTACTCCAAACGCAGATTATTGATTTGAAGAAGGAACCATGTTGGTGCCAAAATGGATCCTTGGGAAACGCCGGAATTAATGATCATGGTATCAGACTTCACTTTGTTAACTACCAGATTTAGCGATCTACTCGAGAAAGAACTTGATGAAAGATGCCATAGCTTAGGTGGTTGTGAAGAAGTGCTTGATTCCAAACACGGTCGAATGCTTCTGATACCAGCTTTCAATGTTGATTGTTCAATCTGTATTTATTTTTTGAAGGCGAATATTCCCCGAATTATTATAAATATGAAAAATAGGAACAAATTGATTTGAAAAATTCAAACATGTCAAAAACAGACGTGAACGTCTGTGTACTAGACGTTTCAACGACATACTTCCCATGTTCCATGTCCATGCATATAAACTGGCAATATACATGAAATTGACGTGTTATAGACGTTCAGTGCTCTCTGTGAAGGAAATTGACCATAGCTGTTCTTTTTGAACCCATCAACTATGAAAATTACGCAAAGATTAAAATCTAACTTTTGGATGCATATTTCTTGTATTATAGATATATGCAGATAAGAAAATAACTGATCAATATCAAGCTTCCTCTATCAATTAATCTCAAACCTTACAATATTTTTTCAAAAATCGAATCAAGTTGGGATGAAGATATAATCAGTTCATATTTAAATTCTCACATGATCTGACAAATAACAAACCAATCAAAGACAACTTGCAATATTGCATAGCTATCTCTCAATATTGTGATTCGTGTATCAGCGTTGTTGTCTCCAATAATGACTATACATGACAAATCAAAATTCGACAGTTTGAAATTTTGACACAAAATCATTGTAGCTGTAAACGGTCGAAAGTCACATTGATTACAATGGATATAATTGAAAATAAATGGTTCTCATTCCTAAAATTGTACTTAAACATCTGAACAAGTATTGACTCCCCATGCATATATCGAACAAATAATAACCCTTTCAATTTGTTTCTGAATCCGAGAGATTTTTCCACATTTTCTTGAACATCCTGTATAATGAATATGTTATGTCATTTTTCAGATGAGCGATGAAAGTGTCAACAGATGCGCCAGAGAGATCTTAGAAGAAACTATCGATGAAGTACTTTTAATGAAAGGAGAAGTCCATGAAGTCATTTTACGCCTGGTAGAAAAATTAGTTGAATCCATACCGATCGATTTCCTATTGCAAGATGAATCCATCCAGTCTGTTGTAGCCAAAATCAGTGATGTTATGGGCAATTCGGAACTTGATAGGGAAAACCTATTGAAATCGGTTGACAGTAGTAGTAGTGTTTACAGAACTGAAATGTTATCAATTCTGAATTTACTTCTGGAAAGGGTATATGGTACTGGAATTGACTATATGTATGTTGTGAAATATGAGTGAATTCATTGTGAAATGTTGAATTGTATTTATTTCCTGATGTGACAGTATGAAATAGAGGTGACGTTCTTGGAGAAAATTGGCAAAACGTGAACTGGACCAATACGGTTTATCCGGGTGTACAACTAAGAAAGGACGTCGGCTGTAGCTCGGAAATCATTTGCCAGACAGGTTTCGGAAAAATATATTTGTGATGAGAGCAGCCTAGAAAATTATAGGGAAATATACTTTCACAGACCTCGAATCACAAATACGTGATTGGATTGAATCAATTCAGAATTCAGGCGATTTAGGCGACCCATGAAATTGGGGTTCAAAGAACTTCTAGCACATCTGAAATATGGTAGGTTCGATCAATCGAGTGGAGCCGAACACGTGTTAGATCACGATCATAACACACACATATAGCCCTCTGTATAGTTTAGTGATATAGGATTGAGATTACCAAGTGGACCCAATCATGACAGACATTGACTGCGCGGTTATAGACTGGCCTGTAATTGCAAATTCTTCGCAATATTTTTCGAATGTATGCAACTTTCAAATAATGATTTCCATGGGTTTTCAACATATCCTACACAATTATTATTGTGTGCTCGCATGCAGCAGCATCACCAATCAGATTTTAATTTTCATTGAGAATTGATGAATCGAAACGATTAGTAAATGCATTCAAATCATTATACGTCGAAATTTGGAAAAAATGATATTGCGGAAAAAATGTGCATACGCCGCCGTCGTCTAGGAATTCTCCAAATTATTAACTGAACATGTGATGAAGAGGAGGGTGTTCTTGAAAAGTTATTAAACGTATGCTTTCTCGCAGACTTATTCTTGGTGTGACTTACATCACGATCAACTACTTTGCATACAATCATGCCGTGCACATGCGCTGTGGTAATTTTTTTAAGATACACTCTTGGGCTTAGCCCTTTATATTGGCAATCTCGCTGGGGATACCCAAGAGAGTAGGGGAGTTTTTCAGTTGCTGTCAGTGGTAAGTGTTGTTTATTTGGAGAAATAATACTTTAAAAACGCAATTTCAAGAACAAATAAACTTTTGTTTCTCTCGGTCGGGTATACCCCGCCCACTTTGGGCTGTTTTTGGCCAATCGCTGGGCATGAAATATACAACCCGACCGAGTTCAGTTCCAATGCATCACACAGCGTGCAATGGTGGCACTATGTTACTCTCGTTTCGATCTTGCTGGAGTCCTGGCGTAGTTCCGAGACTCTGGGAAATTTCCATCTATAGATGTCCAAGTTACCTGGAGATATCGGTTGATGCATATATCAACCCGTATTCCTTGTGGATGTTATGATGGTGTTGAGTTTGTGTGATGTTCCGGGTGAGGTCATTTCCAGCGATGTTGGTGAATCATGTTTGATATTTTATTAATATATTCCTGAATTCTCGGCAAATCACAACATTTCTGGTGGAAATCTGCCACTCGCGAGTATCTATCACCGTTGGTGATAATACGGAGTACTTTGTTCTGCAGCACTTGTAGTCTATTCATTTGAGTAGATGAGATGCTGCAGAATACTTGGCACGCATACCTCATCACAAGCCTAATGAGCTGTGTGTATACCATAATGGCTGTTTTGTGTATAAAATGATTAGTATTAGGCCTGAGACTCATACGGGTGTCCAACTTAACCCCCAGGTATTTCACGGTGATCGTGTCTGCCACCCCAATCCCTTTGACGGTCAAAGGTCTGTGTAATCTGGAGTTGTTATATGATTTGTGCAAATTTATGACTTTATTTCTAGAGCTATTTACACATATCTCTAACTCGTCAAAGTACGGGATGCTTCCCCTGTCAAGATGAATCTGGATTTGTGTCCTGGCAATATCCGAGTCGAACGAGTGAGCATATATTTCTGTATCATTGGCATACAATGCTGTACTCGTTCGCTCGAATACAGGAAAATCATTGGTGTCGAGAGTATATAACCCGGATTTTTTTGTTGGTGACATATGCATCTACAATCCTAATGATGTGGATAGAGACATATATTAGCCTTGCTTGATTTGGATAATGAACCCTCTCGTGCTAGACAGTGTAGAATGCGTTTTCTATGTCGATCATGACCAGAACCGTGTTTTTGTTGCTATTGCTTGCCTCCTTAACCTCGTGAACAATTCGGGCCACTTGGGAAACGATGCTGTGTCCCTTGAGGTACTCGAACTTTTCTTTCGGTATAAGGTGCGGCCTTCCGACATGATCCATGATCTTTGCCACCGCACTGAGCAGCGATATGAGGCGGTACCCATTAGTGGTGTTCAGGTGTTTGTGCTGTGACAGCAGGGTCGTGGTGTATAGCTGAGAGGTGGCCAGGCAATAACTCACACTTAGTCTAGCAAATTGAATCCATTGTACTACTTCAGTTGGTGGGTAATTTATATGGCAATGAACCGATTTGAGGAGGTTGGCAAGTCACATTCAACATACATTTTGAATCTAAAAGAGTAATACACAAATATATAGCATTGAACTTCAATCACATGCAAATTTAGTAACTATGTGTAGTAATTGTCGTCTCAGAATCCCAGGAATAAATACCTATCAAGATGTCCGAATTTCAAGAAATAGTTACCTGGTACGTGAAGAAGATAAGACCTTGAAACTCTTTGTCACTCGAGTAAAATGAGGGATGAGGCTCCATTTGGACATCATTCTAGACCTTACCTTTGAACCTTAAACAATGAATTTATGCAATCGAATATATACATCCAACAATGCTCAGCCATTCATTGTTTGGAGTCTAGATTTGATTCACTAAATCCAAACTTTCCAACACATGCCCACAGGTGGAACCACTTGATGGTGATTGAACATCCATTCTATCAACCTTGGATTGTACTGATGAACTTCATTCTGATATTCATCATGGAACTATAAATAATAAAGACTATACAATATGCATTCGTAGTATCTGTACACATGAAAATAAATAACTTTTTTGATAGTTACTATCGCCTTCTCCGGATCTGAGGACGCTTCCTCGTGGCCATACTCTATAGTTGAAATCGGGGTGAATTTCTTTCGAAGTATTTTCGACATTTTCCACAGAGTATTGTCACGAGGGTCCAGACTCTTCAATTTGGCTCTCCAGGAGGAGATCCCGCCCAGCGAACACAAAAACATCTCAGAGATGTTGAAAGTACGAGATTTCGAGACATTTAACCTCCACTGCGATGTTCTGTTCACACATGGATAGAACTATTATAGAACAGCCAATGTCCGCCGCAGGCGGCAATTATCGAGATGTCCTTGTAACAAAACTACCTTCTCTCTAGTTCTTTTTGAAGCCTTTTCATGGACACAACAAAACATTTACAACGCGTCTTGCGCACATTAAATCGCTAAAAAAACCATTTTCGAGGTACTTCTCTGAAGCCTTTTGTCAAAATGAACTTCTGCATTAGGATTCTATTTCCCTTGAATGAAAAAATGCATTAAAAATAGATTGAACATAAAAATATTTTCACGATATGAAATTACCTTCTCAATCGGTTTCTGAGTAGTGCTTACTACACACAGACATATAATTGGAAATAGATTACCCAATTTTTGAAATGTTCTCCACAATGCATAATTTTGCAACTGCGGAGAAGCTGTGTATTGATGAATTCGTACTTTTATATATTGATTACACTGAGGCACCGAGCAACACATCTTGCATCTGATGGTCATTATCACAAACTAAATGAGTCTCCTAACTAAACTTCACCAAATTCCTTTCTGTTCGTTAGCAGCGTGATGTAAGCGTGACAACGCTGCAAACGCGAATGCCAATTGCGAACAAGGAGAACAAAATCGAAAACAAATCAGAATTCATCGTATTGTGACGTAAGCATGAGACCTTGTGGCGGGGCAAAAAAAGAAAGAGCACAAAAGAACAAAAACAATACTTTCAATATCCTTCTGAGACCTCTTTGGGAAGTGCATATTACGCCTCAAAAAAAACATCCTCATTACATCCAGGAGTTCGTCCTTATTGGAGTCAATGCTGACTCCTCTCGAAGTGGAATTCCTGGTTTCGGCAATACTTTTGTAGGACAGGGTGACGAATGAGTTTATTTGTAATCGCTCAAATACACAAATTAACAAAGATCCACATCAATAAATTCACCACTGATGAGTTTTGACTCCGGAAAAGAAAACATAGACCTACTCCCGTTGATCACTCGGTTCGAAGTGTTTGTTTGTTTTTTTTTTATCAACATTCCTCGTCTCCATCACAATAGTAATTAATCTAATACACAGAATACAGTATGATACAATAATTACTACTATAGGAAATTCCCTACAGTACCCCCTTGCCAGTGGTGAACGATACAAAACTAAAACCAAATACATACGAAAATGAAGAGAAAGAACTACAAAACATATTTGCGAATCACCCTGTGATTACTTAATAAAATTCTCGAAATGAAACAAGAAATTGCAACATAATTCAATTGACACCTGCTTGGTAACGCTCAGTGAATTTAACGCGACGGCCAGAGCGCGTCCTGTAGACAGGTGGTGTTGCTAGAGCTGGTGGTTGAACTGCATCCTGTTGCAACGGTGTTTGGTTGTCTCCTGGAGCAGCAAGAACAAAGTCATCGTCGTTGTCGTCCATGGTACCTCCTGGTGCAGCAATATCCTCTGTGACGATATAGGCCGGTTTGAGACGATCGATGGTAACTGGAACATTTCTTCCGCGCATCGCAAGCGTGAAGTGTTTCTCAGCACGAGAAACAACCTTGTAGGGACCATCGTATGGTAACTGGAGCGGTCCTTTTGGTGCGTCGTGCCTGACAAAGACGTGGGTGGTGGTAGCAAGGTCTTTGAAAACAAAGATTTTGCGTTCGCCATGCCTGGTGCCACTGACTGGACGGAGTTCCTGGAAATGTTGACGCAGCTCACGAACAAAGTCAGCGGAATCATCTATATCCCTGGTGGAGGTAGTGGCCAGAAATTCGCCAGGAAGACGGAGTGGTTCGCCGTAG